CAAAAACATCCAACAGAATAGAAAAAGAAAAGTGTAATGAGCTCCAGGGACTTTCTGCATAGTAAGTATTTATTTCTAAGAAAGTTTTTCCAGTATTTTTTCTGTGAATGTATTATTGTATATTGTTTTCCTCTCAGTGATTCGGCTGTGAAGGAGTTAAATGTTGCAGGCGTTCCCTCGCGGGGTCCTGAACAGGCCTCTCGTGCTGAATTAGATTCCTCAGCCACACATCCTCCATTGCTATGGCAACCCTCCCAAAGCTGAGCGTCGACCGGCCGAGTAGAAGTTTTGTTGTAAGTTTTTCACAGAAGAACCGGACAGCGCCGGAATGAAGTGAGCTGGTCGGGAGAGGGAGAGAAAAGAAAAGTTATTTCCCAGGGGTAGGTGAAAACTATTTCTCATATTTCTATGGAACAGTGAATATTGATTAAAATACTTTTGAATTTTTAAGTGTTTAAGTGTATAATGCTCAAAATCTCAGCTAAAACTTTTCTTGTTATCAAGGCTGTGTGGGTGCAAACAACCCCAAAGTTATAAACTTTTGGATTTTGATAATTGCTCTTGCAGGAACTTGCGGCCAATACACCTGCAAATATTAAACTTATATTTATGCGTCACAAGTTCATGTGCACGGCCTCAGACTTTTCTTCACCATCTTCCAGTCGCCTCTGAAAGAGTCGCCATGTTTTCCCTGTCGGAGCTGGTGCCTCTCAACCAGCATCAGAACAGGTCCAAACTGTTGAAGCCCTGGTGGGAGGTCTTCATGGATTACCTGGTGGTGCTGATGCTGATGACGTCTGTTTTGACCTGCACCGAACAGCTGTCCAGGGATCGAGTGGTGTGCCTTCCCTTGGATCCGTCTGTCACTGCAAATACCAGCAATCACAGTTTCTCCACTCGCGACACTGAGTCTAAGACTCCATCGTCAAAGCAGCCGATGCAGATTCAACAGGACGCCGTCCCCCCGAATCTTCATTCTGCAGCCCGAGGTCGACGCACTCATCTGGTCTATCAGCAGTACGTTTACATCAGCCAGGTACTGTAACACTCCCCTGAACACAGCCAGTGGAGACAAACGATATTGTGTGAGACTGCACAGGTCCCATGAGATGATTGAATAAGTTGTCAACCTTTTAACACTCTGTCCAGGTGTGCTACCACGAGGCCTTGCCCTTGTGCTCCCGTTTCTTCCCCTACATGGCCTTGCTGCAGTCTCTGGTGCTGCTTGCCAGCGGCTCCTTCTGGCTCCACTTCCCCCGCACCTCGGCTCGCATCGAGCACTTCCTGGCCATCTTGGCAAAGTGCTGCGAGTCGCCCTGGACATCTCAAGCCCTGTCCCACGCTGCGCGGCAGGAGAACATCCGGGAGAAGGAGGCAGAGAGACAGCCAGCCCGACCTCCTCCCTCTTCACCCTCACCCCCAGTGACCCGCACGAGACGCTCAACCACAGACTCAGGCACAGACAGCCCACTTCTGAGGAGGTCAAATAGTGTGTCCTCTGCTGTGCCTCCCTCTCCGTGCCCCTCCACACTCTCCCGTGGCTCCACCGTGTCGTCAGGGTCCCTCAGCTCCCAAAGGTGCTCTCCTGGTTCCAAGACGTCGGTCGTGGTTGACAGTCCCAGGCAGGTAATGAGTCTGGATAGAAGTGACGGGGAACAGGCCAGGGCTCTGTTCGAAAGGGTCAGGAAATTCAGGTCCCACTGTGAAAGCTCAGCTGTCATCTACAAGGTGAGAGTTCCTCTAGTGTAGATGATCTGTAGACCATACACGTTCTTCTTGTCTGTTACTTTCATTGTTTTTTCAACCATCAGGTCTACTTGGTTCAGACGATATTCAAACTGCTGATGGTAACTCTGATCGTGAGTTACACCATCCCTCTCCTCAGCAACTTGTCCTTCACCCACACCTGTCACCCTGAGGAGCCGACCCTGGTGGGCTACGCTGCCTTTGACTGTATCCACGTGCTCTCCTCACTTCTACGCAAACTGTTGGTGGCCTACCTGACCCTGCTGGGGCTGTACGGCCTTCTCAACGTTTACACCCTCAGCTGGATTTTACACAGGTGAGCAGAGTGTGCAAGGATAAAGATGTTTACACAATAGATATTTTGTGAATCTATAAACCATATAGTATTTTTTGTCTGTGCCTTTTCAGCTCTTTACAACAGTATTCCTTCCACTCCCTGAAGGAGCTGTGCTCCCTGAGAGATGTTCCAGACCTGAGAAACGACCTGGCCTTTCTGTTACACATGTTAGACCAGTATGACCCTTTGCTGGTCCAGCGTCTCTCCATGTTTTTGTCGCCGGTCGGTGAGAGCAGGCTGCTGGAGGAAAGCTTGGAGCGGCATTGGGGGGAGGAGAAGCTGCGAGCCATGACGAGCGTGGATGAAGATGGCTGCTCCAGACTGCAGCTGGTGGCCCTGCCTCGCCTTCCTCCAGCCCTCTTCACCCTCAGCCAGCTCCAGGTTCTCAAACTGGAGCTCATCAAAGAGGCCAGGTTTACCGCACAGGTAGCCAACATGATGTCACTCAGGTGAGTTGTGCAGTGGTGTAGTCGGGCTTCACATATTTTAAACAATACACACCATTTTAAAAGTTATTTCCACAACAGTAAAATAGTATAAACAAGTATTTATGTGTCATTAATCTACATTTATTGGCTGTTCCTACAACAGAGAGCTCCACCTCTACCACTGCACAGCAGCTGTGGATCCCAGTGCGCTTGGAGTCCTCCAGGAACGTCTGGAGAGCTTCCACCTCACCTTTACTCAGGCATCAGAGATCCCCAGCTGGGTCCTCTCCCTCCGCAGCCTGCATGAACTCCACCTCTCTGGTTGTCTGAGCAGTGAAGGTGGGGTGGGCCGCTGCTGGGCGCTGGGCAGCCTCTGCCGGCTGCATCACCTACGTGTGCTGGTGATTCGTGGCATGTTACAGCGGATCCCTGCGGAGGTGTGTGAGGTGGCAGGCAGCTTGGCGAAGCTGGAGATCCACAACGAGGGCACCAGGCTGCTCGTACTGACAGGACTGAAGCGGATGGTCAACCTGACCGAGCTGCTGCTGCAGGACTGCCAGCTACAGCGTTTGCCCTCTGCACTGCTGTCTCTGACCAAGCTGCAGACACTTGACCTGCAGCATAATAACTTGAGGACTCTGGAGGAGCTGCTCAGTCTGGCTCATCTACGGCGTCTCTCTTGCCTCAGACTCGCCTATAATCATGTTGTGGTGCTGCCGGCTAGTGTTGGTGTGCTTCGGGGCCTTGAGCTCCTGGATCTGTCCAACAACCAGCTCCAGAGCCTTCCCTCAGCACTCTTCACTCTCCGCCTCCTGTGCAGGCTCCTGTTGGCGGGCAACTTGCTGGAGGAACTGCCTATGGAGATAAAGTCCCTGCAGCTGCTCACAGAGCTGGACCTCAGTGGGAACAGGCTGGAGAAACTTCCCCCTGAGCTATTTAGTGGTTGTCTGGAGCTGCGCATACTAAACGTGGCTCACAATTGTCTTAGTTCATTACCTTGTGGTATTGCAGCTTTAAATAAGCTGTGCCGGTTGGATTTGCGTTCCAACAGTCTGGAGGAGCTGCCTGCTGAACTGGGCTGCTGCACAGGGCTGCACAGAGGGGGTCTACTGGTGGAAGACTGGCTGTTTCTTTCGTTGCCTCCCCATGTCAGGGACTTCCTGAACCGTTCTTGCTCCAACTCTGGTGCATACTCAGAAGATCGTTCCCGTCCAGAGTCGGACAGCTTCCCGTACTTCTCTCCGACGCAGTGGAGCTTCTCTTCTGCTCTGGAATCACAGATATAAATCTAGTCTGGCTCCTAATAATATCCTAACACTGATCATCTTCTGTCAGGCTTGTTTGTGTAATGATATATGATATGATATATATATATTTTATATTTACCTGCACACTGCTTTTGGATAGTTTTCCTACCCTTGTTCTTCTAACAGCGCCAAATCAACAGTATCTCAAGGCACTTTACTACAAAACTACAATTAGCAGCACTTGTGGAGAAAAGACACTCAATAAACCTGACGTCTCTGCTCACGTGTTTGTCTCTGATTTCTTACTGTTGATCACTTTATCATAATTTGAACATACTCCAAGCAGCTGCTGTAAAAAACCAAGCACTGTGAGTAAAAAAAAAAACTAAAT